AGTCGCAGAGGAAGACATTCCAAAGACAGCCATTACAACACCCTTTGGATTGTTCGAGTTTCCTCATATGAATTTTGGTTTACGTAACGCCAGCCAAACATTTCAACGTTTTATTGACGAAGTGTTACACGGCCTTGACTTCTGTTTTGCTTACATCGACGACATACTGCCCGCACTCATTCTGCTCTGAATAAACTTTTACTGCGGTAAATCAAAGGAAATGCACCACTTCAATGGAATCCCACAGCCAACGAGGCATTCAATTCAAGTAAGGAGCAACTGGCGCAGTCTACTCTCCTGCACCATCCGCAACCAGATGCTACCTTAGCAATTTTCTGTGACGCATCCATCACTTGGGCGCTGCGTTACAACAATTCCACAATGGAACCTGGGAACCCCTTGCATTTTTCTCCTCCAAACTATCGAACGCTGAAGTCAAATACAGCGCTTTCGACAGAGAACTTCTCGCGATTTATCGCACGATTAAGCATTTCCGCCACTTTCTCGAAGCCCGTGACTTCATTATATTTACAGATCACAAGCCCCTTACCTTTGCTTTCCGTCAGAACCCTGACAAATGCTCTCCTAGACAGTCACGGCACCTCAATTTCATTAGCCAGTTCTCAACGAACATCCAGCATATTTCTGGGAAAGATAACATCATCGCAGACGCACTCTCACGGATTTCTGAGTTATCAACGCATGTTGACTACGAAGCTCTTGCTACTGGACAGGAGTCCGATAGGGAACTACAACATTATCTCAATGCTAACCATTCCCTACACCTCAAACGTATTCACATTCCCGGCTCAAATAATGCCATTTTCTGCGACATCTCTACTGGTACGGCAAGACCTTTTTTAACTTCAACATTTCGTTTCGCAGCATTCAAGCAGTTACATTCCCTAACGCATCCTGGAATCCGTGCTTCCATAAAACTTGTGACCCAGCGATTTATTTAGCCATCTGCTAATAAAGATTGCGCCAAATGGGCACGCGAATGTCTCTCTTGTCAAAAAGCCAAAGGTACCCGTCACGTTTTTCCACCCTTGGGCGAATTCGGACTTCCATCAGAAAAGTTCGACCACGTCCACATGGACATAGTTGTGATGCCGCACTCGAAGGATACCGTTACTGCCTCACGTGTGTAGACAGATTCACACGTTGGCCTGAAGCTTTTCCAATGACAGACCAAGAAGCCACAACAGTCGCACGAACCTTTTATGAAGGCTGGATCTGTCGCTATGGCACACCCCTGAGAATCACCACAGACCAAGGTAGACAGTTTGAGTCCCAGCTTTTCAAGGAGCTTTCGCAGCTAACAAACGCGAAGCATATCCACACAACGGCATACCACCCCGCAGCTAATGGCATGGTTGAGAGATTACACCGCCAATTAAAAGCAGCCATAACCTGCCATCAAAACAGCAGCTGGACCAGGATTCTTCCCACCGTTCTTCTAGGAATTCGTGCAGCCTGGAAGGAAGACCTTAAGACTACAGCAGCCGAGATATTATATGGAAAACCCCTTCGTCTACCAGGCGAATTTCTGGCACCAGACACCCGTCAATCGCCCACCACCACCCAGACATATGTACAGCAGCTTCGCGATCACTTCCGACGTCTACGACCTGTAGCTGGAAGCAGGCATGGTGGACAGAAAACCTTCATTTATGGAGATCTACGATCAGCCGAATATGTCCTAATTCGACGGGATGGTCCAAAGAAACCACTACAATTCTCATACGATGGGCCATATAAAGTAATCAAACGAGGCGAACACTCTTTCATAGTTCAACTTCCTAATATAAGCAAATCTGTATCAGTGCAAAGACTGAAACCAGCATACATCATGAAGGAAGAACAGCACTTCCAACCGATACTCACAACGAGGAAAATGGACGATCGACCAGCCCATACTACAACCCGGTCCGGTCGTCGAGTACATTTCCCTAGCTATATCCGAGCAAGCNNNNAAAGGATATATCAAATAATTTTGTATAAATACTCTGTAAATATCGAAATAAAATTAGTCTAACACCAGGCTCGCTATTATTGTATACTGCAACAGTATCAACTCCAGAATATCGACCATCGGATGCTGTACCAGTGCTACGTCTCATCTTAGGCACAGCAATGTGTCCAACGCTTTGTAAATCGGTTCTTCTCAGAACCACAACTTGCTAGTCACATCTCTCATCACATACGACTACTGAGAGTGGCTACAGCTATTTACTACTTCTCTTTGTCTACCCTCTTAGTCAGGAGAACTCTTCGACCCAGAAACTTTTCGGCTACCCTTTTAGCCGGCCAGAACAGCACGCATATAATATATATATACATGCGTGCTGTTATACATACATCAACATACACCGAGTGTGTATATATATATATGTTATCGCGATGCTGATCCGACGTCTCTCGCGCATGATTCTCTTGCCTCTAATTCCCCGTGTCGACGACATCCGAGGATTACCGAAAGACCCTCCTTATTATTATGATTATTATGACTAATATAATTAATACATTGTCCTAATATAGATCGTTAAAAAGTGATGTGAGGGTGTTTTCTTTAAATTCCGCCCTTTTAAAGAAAATTAGTTTACATATATATACTGCACTGGACTTGTAAATAAACTCCGTTTTAAGACTTAGAACAACTAATTTTGGAGATTTAAAACCAAGGAAGGTGCGCCCTATCAAACTGCGCGTGCCCGGTAGCAGTATGTCCATCCAGTTCTGACCACCTCACGTTAAGAATAGAGAACTTTTTTTCCATTTCTTCTTTTCTTTACAACAAAAAACAAACAAAACAATTACGAGTATGGGAGTTTCAGATAAATTAATGCTTTATACCAAATTTTGTACAATATTGGTAAAATGGAGATATTCAACTAGACAGTCGTGTACTGCATGCTTATGTATTGGTGGGAAAAGCTTCGCGATTATAATTTTACATTAATCGTCGATAATTTATTTGCCTCGTTTTGTTTTGTAGTGTCAATAATGAAAATAGGACTGCTTTATAATAATGCATACGAAACTAACGGTTCGGGGTATGTTTTCTTTAAAAGGCTTTTCTGGATGTCGTTATACATCTGGTACGCTTCACTATAACGATTCTTATTGTAGCGAGCACGAACGTGTTTATGTGCGATCGGGCATACGTGTGTGTGAGCGGCTTACCGATTCGCCGACTAGCCGCGGGCGCCTTTCTTCGTGTGCGCCGTATTTGTAAATGTGTGTGTCGTACCTGCGTACTGGAAAAGCAATTAAACAGTTCAAAGCGGCTCGAGAAGGTTGCCGAAAGGAAGCAAAAGAATATTTAAAGGAAGAGACGATAGCCGGAAAAAGTAGAAATAAATTGACCGTTGCAGAAGCTAATCAAGTGAATAGTGATATATCAACAGTAGTGTAAATAAATAGAATAATTACCTAAGTTTAGTAACAATTTAATAGTGTTTCTAAGTGTTGAGATTTCATGTTTACTAAGCGCTCTTTCGTCGCCTATGTTTGTGTTTTAGGATTAACCAATTATTTGTTCTGTTCATAGTCCTTAATGTTGTTGTTTTGAGAATTGCTAATATTTGTTTGAGCTCCTTAGTAATCGCATATGTATTGATAAACAGTTGATTGTTGTTATAAACAAATAAGTCGGTTAGTAAATTATAAACACGCCAGTTGTACTCACACTTTTTAACAATTTATATTATAAAATAAATAACAGGTTATGGGCCCAGTTGCCTTCTAAATAAATTGGTAAATCAGAAAGCAAAAGTGCTTAGTGTGAATTCGTGTTTGGGTTCTTGCGTTTAAATATTAAAAATGGAAAAGATTACGCTATCCAAACTGAATTCAAAAATGTGGAAGTTCCAAATTCAATCGTACTTGGATGTACATGGGCTTCTAGAAGTAGTGGATGGAACTTCACCCTGGTCGACCAGTTATCAAGTTCAAGAATTGGCAGAATGGGAAAAACTTGACAAGAAAGCGCGGATGGTGATTGGACTGGAAAAAAAAACAGGTCAGGCAAGTCAAGAACCTAAAAACTTCAATAGAAATGTGGGATCGTTTGGCTTCTATTTATGAAATCAAAAATGAGGCATCTATTCATATGCTGCTACAACAATTTTTCAAATATGAAATGAACGAAAATACAACGATTTCGCAACATGTAGCTAACATTGAACAAATGGCACAACGAGTAGAAAATCTTGGTCATCCACGAAACGAGGTAGACATTGTTACAAAAATTTTGCTAAACCTACCAGAACAGTACAAGCCTTTTATTGCTGCCGGGGATTCGTTCGACAGAAGTAATCAAACGAAAGCAAATTTAGTGTCGCGACTTTTAAAGCAAGAAATGTTACTTCATGGTTCATCATCGTCGTCATCAAACGAAAACAAAAATGTGGCTTTAGTGCATAAGACTTCCCAAAAAGAACGAGAAAAGAAAAATAGATTTAAAAGTCGCAATGAAAAGTTTTCTGGAAAGTGCCATTACTTCAAAAACGAACAAAAACAAGGTGTCATTAATAGTGCTTCCGGTTCAAAAGAAGAGGGTCCAGGGACCTATATGTTTACGGCATTCGATGACAGCAAATGTTCGGGAAATGGTGATTGTTTTTATGCTGATTCTGGTGCGTCACATCACATGACATCGTATCGCGAGTGGTTTGAGAAGTATACAGAATTTTCTCTGCAAGATAGAAAAACAATTACTATTGGTGACGGAAAAGATATTTATGCGTATGGATTTGGGACAATTAGAATTAAAACAACTTTTAACGAAATAGCACAACAACACTTGTTAACAAACGTACTTTATGTTCCTATTATTGATCGAAATTTATTTTCAATTGGTGCCGCTACGAATAATGGAGCAACAGTACAGTTAAATAAGGAAGAACTTAAGATATCCCTCAATGGAAAATTGATTGCTTGTGCAAGTCGTACAGGTGATAATTTGTATGAAATGCATTTTCATGTAGTCACAGAAAATGAAAGTGCACATATGGCAAGTTCGACTGCAGCTTCAGTTGAGCGCTGGCATGACCGTTTTGGAATTGGTAACCAATAACGCAGTAACTGGAATGGACATCAAGGGTAAAACAAAATTCAAATACAACGAGAACAATTTCTGGACCTATGTCAGAAACGTCATTTGGAGGATCAAGATCTGATAGTCGCATCGTCAGTAAAAAGAAAATCAGACATTGTCGAACAAGTTGATCTTCTTGTTGCCGAATATAAAGGAGCTGGTCATGCTATACGACGAATGCGATCTGATAACGCTGCTGAATTTCATGGCCAGGAGATGACGAATGTTATGAGAAAATACTCCATTAAACAAGAATTTTCAACACCTCGTGTTCCTGAACAAAATGGGCGTGCTGAGCGCCAAAATCGAACAATTGTCGAAATGGCACGCACCCTACTTATAGCTGCACATTTGCCCACGAGACTCTGGGCTGAAGCCTGCCGCACTGCAGCATATATACGTAATTTGATTCCTTTGAGAAGACTTCACGGCAAAACACCAAGTGAACTGTTTTATGGAAGAAAACCGGATGTTAGTCATCTTCGTGTGTATGGAAGTACGTGTTACGTGCATATTGAAAAAGATAAGCGCAAAAAGTTTGACAAAAAGAGTAAAAAAATGGTGTTTGTCGGGTGTTAAAATGCTTCAAAGGCATATCGATTATGGGAACTTGGTACAAATCGTGTGGTAATAAGCTGCGATGTTCAAGTTATAGAGCCGGACACTTCCAGTGTTGTAACGTTAGAAATGAACCTAAGAAAAGAAAAACAAGCAGAGACTGTGGATGGTTCACAGACCGAAGAAGAAACGCTCATAAGTGAAGAAGGTGAACATTCAACCAGTAGTAGTGTTCCTGACAATGATGAAGACTTTTTGCCGAAGGGACCGTACCGACCAACCACTGGTGCAACCACTGATAATATTGCGAGTCGCACTAGAAGCAAAACAGCAAAACCTAACTCAGAAGGTTTAAATTTTGCAAATGTTATCCGAAACACCTTTAACTATGAAACAAGCGCGTAAATCATCGGACCATAAACAATGGGAGCAAGCTATGTGTGGAGAACAGCACTTAATGAAAACAAAACTTGGTCTATGGTTAAACGTTCCAAAAATCGAAAGGTGGTTAAAAGTCATTGGGTTTTTCGCATTAAGATGGAACCTAATGGTGAAGTTGATCCTTATCGTGCCAGATTGGTAATTGGTTCTAACAACAAAGTAATTGAATTGTTAACGTGGATTAAACAAAAATTCAAAATTACAAGTGAAACCGCGAAATGTTACCTTGGAATTGAAATTGATCGCGATAAAGATTCTCGAGTAATTAAAATACATTAAACCACGTATGCAAAAAGAGTAGGTACTCAAGCGATTTAACTTGACTGAGTGCAACCCGACAACTACATCCGCCGACCCAAAGGTTAAATTAATTCCAAACTTGGACAGTGATGGAAATATAGGTGAAGTTGTAAATGTACCCTACCGCGAAATTATTGGTTCACTAATGTACCTTGCTATAGGTACCGGAATAGACATTGCATTTATAGTTAACCAATTATCTCAATTTCTTGAAACATCTTCACAAACCCTTTGGATGGCAGCGAAACGTGTTCTTCGTTACTTAAAAGAAACGTTAAGTAAAGGTATTACATACAACGGAAACTGTACTTCAAAAAATGAAATAATCGCATACAGTGATGCAGACTGAGCAACCTCTCATGACCGAAAATCAATAAGTGGAGTAGTTTTGATTCTAAATTGTGGCCCTGTAATTTGGAAAAGTCAAAAGCAAAGTATTACGGATTCCACCATGTATGCAGAGTATGCAGCTGCTCATATTGCTGCCAAAAATACTCAATGGTTACGTCTGCTGATGTGTGAACTAGGATTCCTTCAAAGCTCATCAACCAAGTTGTATATCGACAATGCAGCAGCTGAACAATTAACCAAACCCCGTGTACCATGATCGTTCAAAGCATATAGACATAAAATTTCATTATATTCGCGAATGTGTTAAAAGTGGTGATATTGAAGTGATTCGGGTTCTTACTTATTGTCAACTTGGGGATTTATTAACAAAAAGTTTGTCACTTAATAAGTTTGATAAAAATTGTAAAATGTTAAATTTAGATCAAGTGTAACAATGTATTTCTATTACTCGAAAGAGCGAGTGGGAGTGTTGAGATTTCATGTTTACTAAGCGTTCTTTCGTTGCCTATGTTTGTGTTTTAGGATTAATCAATTATTTGTTCTGTTTATAGTCCATAATGTTGTTGTTTTGAGAATTGGTAATTTTTGTTTGATAAACAGTTGAATGTTGTTATAAACAAATAAGTCGGTTAGTAAATTATAAACAAGCCAGTTGTACTCACACTTTTTACCAATTTATATTATAAAATAAATAATACTAAGTTCAATATGAAAAGTGTAAATAAATAGTTTTCGTCTTAGAAGTTAAATTTTGTTAAACCCACGAACATTACAACTGGTGTCAGGTGTGGGGTTGAGTAAAAGACATTACAATGGCAAAGAAGTTGTACGAATTAAAAGTAGCCGAATTAAGAAGAGAACTAGAAGAACGGGATGAAGCGACAAGCGGTAACAAATCGGAACTTCAGTGGCGGCTCGCAGAGGCGTTGAAAAAGGATGGCCATGATCCTGAAACGATCCTTTTCGAAGACGAATTGTCGCAAATCCTGAAACGTGAATTGAAAGAAAACAGTAAATCTTTGGAAAATAAATTAGAAGAAAACAGTAAAAGTTTGGAAAATAAATTGGAAGAAAATAGTAAAAGTTCGAAGCGTGAATTGGAAGAAAACAGTAAACGTTTGGAAAATAAATTGGAAGAAAATAGTAAAAGTTTGGAAAATAAATTGGGAGAATATAGTAAAAGTTTGAAACGTGAATTGGAAGAAAATAGTAAAAGCCTGAAACGTGAATTGGAGGAGAACAGTAAAAGTTTGGAAAATAAATTGGAAGAAAAATTGGATGAAAATAGTAAAAGCATGAAACGTGAATTGGAAGAAAACAGTAAAGGTTTGGAAAATAAATTGGAAGAAATCAGTTAAAGTTTGGAGAATATATGGGAAGAAAAATTTAATGAAAATATTCAAGAAACAGAAGAGAAGATGAAAGTGCTGGAAGAATTGATCTTTAATGGAAAGATAAAACCAATCGAAGGGAATGTTGGCGCATCTAGTAAACTCAACGAAGCCAGTCAAATCAGCCAAGGAAGCGACATAGAGTCCAGAAGACGAGTAAAGCCACCGACGTTTGACGGAAAGTCCTCATGGGCCACATACCACAAGCAATTCCAGGCGGATGCTTAAGCGAATAACTGGGCGCCTGAAGAAAAAGCCACTGCGGAGTTGTATGTGACATTTTGAACACCCTTTCCCCGGAAGAATTGACGGATTGGTAAAACGGTTAGATTTGTGGTACGGCGAGGCTCATTTAACAGCGGTGTATCACATCCAACTGAAAACCCGTCAGCAGAAACCAACGAAATCCCTACAAGAATTCGAGGCCGATATTGCGAGACTGTCTCGACTGGCCTATCCTAATGCTCCTGAAGAATTGATGGAAAGGTTGGCAGTGGAGGCATTTACTGATGGACATCGGGACAGTGACACTCAACAACGAATACTCCTTGATCGACCTAACACGCAAGCTGATGGATTGGCCCGTTCATTGGAGTATGAAACTGTTAAACGGGCCTATAGCAAACAGGGAAGGGTTCGGCTACTGCGTGAAGAAACGAATTCGTCAGAATCTCTAGAAGAAACCGTCTGCCGAATAATTTCCTTTTCGGTAAAGAAATTCGAAAGCTAAGATGTTCGAATTGCGGCGAACGAAGAGGCAGTGCAGGAAAAGTACTCCTTCCCCAAATACTCGACGTCAACAGCAGGAAAACTAGATACGGTTGACGTAAGGGGGCAAACGTTGACCCACTAACAAAAAGACTCCGAATTTATCGCATGTACGAAGACCTTGAAGCACCAGAATGACAGTCTCCTCCTAGGTGGAAAAATAAATGGGCGAAGATGCGTGTTTCCTTTGGACACTGGGGCGACTAGGAGCATAGTAAAACCCAGCGTAGTTGAGGATTCTAACCAGGTCGTGTCAACTAAGTGAGTTCTACGTACGGCTACCGGAGAAAAAGCGGTTGTTCATGGCGAAGCTAACGTGTCACTTGAAATCGGTAAAGCTGTTTTTGATTATCGAGTCAGAAATTGAAGATGGGCTAGACCTTTTACAAAAATACGATTTTGACATGAATTTAAGAGTACGCGTTCTGAGACTGAATGATGAAGAATTCTGTTTCATCAAAGATAGACAGGAGGCTGTAACCCGGAAGGTAAATTCTGAAACAGTACCTGTTGAAATAAGTGGACTGATGGACAGATATTGTAGGAATATAACCAGTGAGCAGAAATGTAAAGTGCAACATCTACTTTGATAGAATACCGACGTCTTTGAGACTGACAAGGATAGTAGGGGAAAGACCAATATCGTAAAACACAAGATCAATATCGGTAATGCACAGCCTATTCGTCAAAGACCTACATGATTGCCCCTTCCCAAGAAGGAAGAAGCAGAGCGAATAATCCACGAAATGCAGGAGACCGGCATAATTGAGCCATCTTCAAGTCCATGGACATCACCGGTAGTATTGGCAAAGAAGAAGGATGGAACAACCTGTTTTTGTGTGGATTACCGACAGCTCAACAACGTAACCAAGAAAGACAGTTATCCACTACCACGGATGAATGACACCTTGGATATGCCTTCTGGCTCGAAAATGTTTTCCACACTCGATTTAAAGAGCGGATACTGGTAAGTTGTTTTAGACGCTGCCGACAAAGAAAAGACCGCATTCTCGATCGGCACGGGCTTATGGCAATTTACAGTTATGCCTTTCGGGTTGTGCAATGCCCCGGCGACGTTCGAAAGGTTGATGGAGAAAATCTTGAGTGATCAAATTGGAAAGACCTGCTTGGTATACCTGGATGACATCATAGTGATTGGAAGCACCTTTAATGAACACCTGCAGAATTTGCAAGCGGGATTCTAGCGGTTACGTGAGGCCAATTTGAAACTCAGTCCGAAAAAGTGCCACTTTTTCCGCGAAGAAGTTTCTTACTTCTTCTTTCAGCGAAGGGCTTGGCCGTGGATCCAGAGAAGATAAAGGCCGTAAAGGAACGGCCAGTGCCTGAAAATGTACAAGACATAAGAAGTTTCTTGGGATTGTGCACTTATTATCGTCGCTATGTTTATGGATTCGCCAATATCGCCAAATCTTTGACACGTTTAACTGAAAGTGACCGCAAATTTCATTGGGATTCAGATTGTCAAACGGCATTTGAGACTTTGAAGCAGGCTTTAATCACAGCCCCCGCCCTGGTATATCCTCGGCCCAATGGAATGTTCATTTTGGACACCAACGCCAGCAATGTGGGAATGGGAGCCATTCATTCGCAGTTACAAGTTCACCAAGAGAAGGTAATCGACTATTTTAGCAAGATCTTATCAAAAGCCTAAAGAAACTACTGTGTCACTAGGCGAGAGATGCTGGCTGTAGTTAAAAGTGTAGAACATTTTTATAAATACCTGTATGGACGAAAATTCACCCTACGCATCGGTCATGCAGCTTTCAAGTGGCTTCTGAATTTCAATAATCCGGAGGATCAGGTAGCTCGATGGATTGAGAAGCTACAGGAACAAGATTTTGACGTAGAGCACCGGCCTAGAACCGCACACAAGAGTGCCGATGCACTTTCCAGAGGATCTTGTCAAACAGACTTCAAGCAGTGTTTTCAAATGGAAAAGAATGAAGAGGCAATTCGACGCATCACGGTAATCGATGACGAGTGGTTGCCTGACAATATAAAACACGACCAAGAAAATGATCCTGACTTGAAGAAGGTAATGGAATAGAAAAGAGACAGAAAACGGGCAACGTGGCAGCAAATTCCTTCCTGTACCCAAGTACTAAAATCGTTATGGGCTCAGTGGGACTCAATGGTTTTAGAGGATGGTATCCTGAAGCGTGTTGTTGAAAGTCCAGATGGAGAGGAAGATAGGAAGCAACTGATTATTCCTCGAAACTAGATTAGAGAGGTGTTGCAATATCTTCATGATGGATCATCTGGTGGCCATTTTGGAGTGAATAAAACGTTTGGGAATGTTCGAGAGCGGGTTTATTGCGTGAACTGTAAGGAAGATGTAAAGAATTGGTGTGAGGAGTGTACCACCTAGTGTCGCGAGTAATGGACCACAGAAAAGGCCAAGGGCGCCAAGGCGTCAATACAATGTCAGTGGCCCCTTCGAACGAATCGCAGTCGATGTGGTAGGTTCATTCCCAGAGTCCGGGAAAGGTAACAAGTACATCGTGGTCGTTATGGATTTTACCAAGTGGGTTGACGCCTATGCCCTTCCGAACAAGGAGTCGGAAACTATAGTTGAAGAACTTGTGAAAGAGTTGATCAGTCGTTTTGGGGTGCCCGTGGAGTTGCACTTATACCAAGGGAGGAATTTAGAATCGGCCTATATTCCGTGGACTCGAACTACTCCACTCAATCCACGAACGGACGACATGGTTGAACGAATGAACCGAACCTTGATTAAATATCTCTCCAAGGTAGTGTCTGACCACCAAAGGGACTGGGACCGCTATTTGAAGAAGATTATGTTACCAACCTCCGAAGAAAGCTTAACGATATCCACGAGTCGGTTCGTCTGCATACGCAGATTGCTAGTGACAGGATTAAAGAAAACTATAGTATCAAGGCTACAGCAGGTGGTTACCAAACTGGAGATCTTGTTTGGTAGTATAATCCTCGTCGTCGCCGTGGACTATCACCTAAGTTCCAACAGAATTGGGAAGGACCCTATGAAATAGTTAAGAGGATTAACGACGTGATGTACCGAATTAAGAAAACTCCAAATGGGAAGCCGAAGGTAGTCCATTTTAATCGCTTGCCTCCATTCGCCGGTGCAAATGAAGAGGAGGCGCGGGCCAGATTATTAAGAACTACTCCTTCCGAGCCCACATTCAAAGAGTTCATGAAGGAAGGCCCCCATGTTAACAGGAAATTTGGAGAACAAACAGAATAGCTCAAAACCCCAACGCCAAAACACGACACTGTAGTTGTCTGAAGCACTTTTCGGTAACAAAGTTACCTTCTTCAGGGACTGAAGTAAACTAAACCTAAATGAGAACTAATCCTAATTTATACTGATAGTTGTTAAGGTTCAGTGAACATGACCCGATGCCAATAAGGTAGATGTTCAATGGACCTTAACAATCATAAACGTAATTAAACTAGACTAAATAGCGGAGATCCAGGGATAGGACCATTGTCATTGTTAAGAAAAATTTGTTTATTTTTATAAATGTATAAACTTTAAAAACTATCCAGTAAACAATTATTCCTAACCTCCCTAACTAACTTAAGATTATTAATATTAATATTATGTTCATCATTCAAGTTTAAAATTGGGTCGTGAATAGCAAAAAGAGTCTGTTAGGCGTATATTACGCCCGGTAAATAAACCTCTTTCGAAAATTGCATTGGTAATACGATCCAAATAAGTGAACATCAACAGTACAGCCTGAAGAAAGACAAGAAGAAAAGGGCGAAAAAGAAGAAAATCTGGATCTGCAACAGCAACAGTCTCTACCTCCAGAAATGATGATGATGAAAACAATTCTGCTGATTTATCGGAATATTTGAATCATATCTGCCATTAGCAAGACAATATGTAGAAGTGATTTTAACATAAAGGAAAGAATTAGATCAGGAAGATCTATTAAATATACCGAAAAATACGACCATTTTTTCGAACTGCATTAGCATCTAAATGCAGGGTTACCAAGATGCGTGTGTCGTAAACAAAGAAGTGAAAGCCGTGTGAAAGGACTAAAATTAAACATGCTTTATAACGAGAAATCTATCCAGTATGTTTATTTTCATTACATTAATGAAATAGATGATCGAGTTCGATATAGCGTTAAAAAACTTAAAAAATAATAAGCTGCCAGGTGTAGATGAGATACAGGGGGAAATTCTAAAACACGCAGGACAACGGGTTAGAGATAGGATGTTTAAGCTAGTTAGTCACATTTACAAGACGGGGAAACTCCCAGAGGATTTAATTTCCCATGCGTCAAAAAACATAACTAGAATTGTACACAGGAGGATGGAAGAAAGGGCGGAAGAACTATTAGAGGAAGCTCAATTTGGCTTTAGAAGAAATTGAGGAATGCGGGAGGCCATTCTAGCTTTACGGGCAACTATAGAGAAAACGATAGGAAAAGGAAAGAGTACGTACATAGGATTTGTAGATTTAGAAAAAGCTTTTGACAATGTTAAATGGGACAAGATGTTAAATATACTTAAAAATGTAGGGATAAGTTACAAAGATAGAAGAGTGATACTTAGTTTGTATAAAGACCAACAAGCAGTTATAGAGCTGGGGCTGCAACGTACAGAAGTGAATATTAGTAAGGGAGTCAGACAAGGATACATACTGTCATCGTTACTTTTAAATCTAAACATCGAAGATGCGATCAACATCATTAAAGACAGTACATCTGTTCCACTCCCATATAAAGCCCCTTCATCCTGTAGCCGAGCGAAGCCTCTCTCGCAACTTAAATAATACCTACGAAAATTTTCGTTACTACGTTCGCAATACTATTGGGACTATGGAAGAGGGGACTCACCTACGAAATGGAAATGATATGAAAAGGAAAGAATCATCTCACTCGCACTTGCAGGATTAATGAGGAGCTCCTTAGTTATACCTGAGGAGCACTCAGGAGTCAATAGAGCCGAGTTTGCCCGGCTCTAAAGTAGGGAAAGAGCGAATATAAAGATAGGAGACGAAACATTAGAATAAATAGCTGATTTTAGGTATCTAGGATATCAAATAGTCAAGACGGATGGAGTAGTAGGGATACAAAGCAGAGGATAGCGCAGGGTCGAGTCACTTTCAATAACAAGAAACCACTTCTATGCTCGCCAACGGTTAATTTAATAACTCGAAAAAGGTTGTTAAAGGTGTATGTTTGGAGCGTGGCGCTGTACGAGTGTGCGAAACATGGACAGTGGGGGGCGCAGCAGAGAAGAAAAGGTTAGAAGTGTTCGAAATGTAGTGTTACAAACGAATGATGAGGATACTTTGCATAGAGAAGGTTACAAATGAAGAGGTATTAGAAAGAATAGAAGAATAGAGGACTCTTTGGAAGTCAATAAGAAACAGGCGAGTTAGGTTAGTAGGATACCTTCTCAGGCATGAAAGTCTAGTCAGAAAAATACTAGAGATAGATACGGAAGTTAGAGGGGTAGAGGTAGACCTAGATTAGATTACTGTTCGTAAATAGTTAAGGAAGTGGGTTGTTCTAGTTTTAGAGAAATGCGAAGATTAGCTCAGGATAGGAAAGAGTGGAGGTGCGTGACAAACTTATGATGAAGTAAGGTCAATAATTTCTGAATTGGGGGAGGGGAGGTTGTTTATTTAAAAATAATAAATAACCCTACTTTGTATTTTGATGTAGTGATGTTAAAATCAATGCAAGAATGAGTGTAAACAAATTTGGCCAATCGAAATGCTCTCTTTCTACAGGTATTACTGGTGGTGGGAGTAGTGATAGTGGACGAATGTCATCATCAGTAGGTAAATATTAATAATATAATAAAATTCGGTTTCATGTATACTACAGAAGGTGACCTTGATATAGAAAATGGACGAGCATGTAACATGAAATCTCGATTAATCCTTACAATGCGGTAAATAAACATTACTTTGATAACAATAACCAGCAACAACAGCAATAGTAATAGGTGAAGCATGCAGTTGAAATCAAACAACGTCAAAAATGTTCGCAAAAGACAACAACGTAAAACGCAGTGTGGTTCATGAAATTCGTCGATCTGCTGAGAATAACTTTTCAACGTCTACGTGTGATAATTAGAGATTCACTTGAACGGCGTACCAGTCCCGCCAGTCCGTCATTATCAATTCAAAGGAAAAGTCACGTCGCTGTTATAAATTTTCAATTGTAAATTATTACGAATTTCTCATATCATAATTAGATTGTAGTGTAAAGTATTCATTTTAATTGAGCTATTAGCAACCGCGGATGAAACACTCATGCATATTTTTTAACTTATTTGTTTTAGTATCTTAGGTTATGGTAAATTTAACAATATAAAAGGTGCCTGAAAATATGGCTACTTGGTGGGAATTTTTAATGCTTAACCTAATTTTTATTTCACTTTCATTTATTTATTTTTGTATTATATTTCTTTAAATTTATTTTGGATTTTAGTTCATGGCCCCACATTACAAATTCAAAAAAATGCGAAGTACTATTAAGTACGTGAAACCTGAGGGCTCCTTCCTAATTCATTAAGTACATGGACCCTGAGACACCTTTCTATTTTGGATGACTGTCCTGAGGCCCTATTTAATTTGAAAACGTCACAGTTCTGACCTATATATATATTCTGGTTAATTTATGTAAAAAGACAAGTTCTATTTTCTGTTCTACAATTGTTACTATGTCAGTTTGCTAAAAACAGTTGTGTTGTCGTATTATTGTATTGTGTGCTGTAACCAAGTGTAATAAAAATTATTTTTTTAATCATCTCGAACCTTTGACTTAACTGGCGCTGCGAACAGGATCGTGAAGGGATCCTTTATAGAAGAGTTTCATCGTGAAAATCTGAAAAAGCGACCCCAGGTGCTCAGCTCCTCAACGTTCACGATTCCAATCAGAGAAGACCTACGCTTAGTATTACAACACTACCCTTGGGAGTAGAAGAGAAAGACGGGAAGATCCGAAAATACATCGGTGATTCTAGGACTTCCACTGCATCCTTCTATCTAGCGGAGAAATTTTGGACAAAAAGTAAGTACAATTTTCATACCATTACTTGATCCCAAATCTATTTCTCCCCCATTACAATAATGACAACTACACCCACAACCGTATCCTTAGCAGACTTCAAAACCAAATTTGATTTCTTTTGTAACCTTATTCCAAATTTTGATGGAAAAGAAACTGAACTTCCCCAATTTATTAAGGCAACAGATAATTTTTGGGCAAATATAACCTCAAGTAGTTTAGAATATCAAGAAGCAAAATTTATAGCTGTTACAAATAAATTAAAGAATGATGCTGCATTATTGTATAGTGTTGAAAGACCAGAAGATTGGCCCCAATTAAGACTACTTTTAAAAGAACGTTTTGGTACTATAGAAAAAACTAACTTATTATACAATCAGTTGATTGGTTGCGCAATGTTATCAAATGAACACTATGAAAATTATTATTTGCGAATTTATAGTATCCTATCAAAATTAAATGAATCAGTAGACGGTCTTGTTGATCAACACTGTTGATTCAATAGTATAGGAGAGCTCATTATAGACAAGAAGCTACAAAAGTATTTTGTGCCGCTATTAATGAGCCCTATAGAACTCATTTATTATATAGGAAACCCTTAAATTTACAAAATGCTCCTCTTGTTGTAAAGAATTAGAAAATATTAATCAGTCGACACAAATGTATCAACAGATGCAGAAAATTCAAAGTCAGGGTACACAAGTACAAGTTATCAAAACGCCTCAACCTAAACAAAATCCGATTTCTAATTTCCAACCACAAAGTCTAAGACGACCTTTCTTTACACAACACAACTTTATAAGACCCTCACAACAGCATGTTCAACAAATTCCTCGCAAACCTTTTGTAGTCCCAAAACCACACCCTGTATTATTACAGGCACAACAACATAATAATAGGCAAAACGTTAGACCACAATTACCGCAACAACAATTTAGGAATTTCCCACAAAGAAACCCTGTAGGTTCTAATGATGTCGGTCATTATGAATACATCCGAATGCCCTTCGGTCTAAAAAACGCACCGGCCACGTTTCAGAGGATGATGGATGAAGTTTTAAAAGAATATTTATATAAATTCACCTTTGTATACATGGATGATATAGTTATTTTTTCCAAATCATTACAAGATCATGTGAACCATTTAAAACTAATCTTTGAAAAATTAAAACAGGTAAATTTAAAAGTATCTTTAGATAAGTCAGAATTTTGTCGAAAAGAAGTACCATTTCTAGGTCATTTAATTACAACCGATGGGATAAAGCCGAATCCGGATAAAATAAAAGCAATAGTCAATTTTCCCATTTCACATAATATAAAAACATTACGAGCATTCTTAGGTCTCTCCGGATATTACGGAAAATTCATTAAAAATTATGCCAAAATTGTCACGCCTCTTACTAAGTGCTTAAAGAAAAACAGTAAAGTAGATAATCAAAATCCAGAATTTATAGATGCCGTTAAAAAAATTAAAGAATTAATTACTAATGCCCCTATCCTTGCTTATCCCGACTTTACTAAGGTATTTACAGTGACTACTGACGCTTCTGACAAAGCAATAGGTGGAGTTATTTCTCAGGATAAACATCCCATAGCTTTTTATTCAAGAACTTTAAATAGTGCTGAGAGAAATTATTCCACTATTGAAAAAGAACTCCTCGCGATTTTGGATTCTTGTAAACAATTTCGGCCGTATATCTTTGGGCGCAAATTTATTTTACAAACAGATCACCAACCCTTAGATTGGTTACATTCACTTAAAGAACCGCAATCACGCTTGT